CTATATTCTTGTTTGCATTCTTTTTGGCACTGCCATCCCTACATCATTTTACATTTACAATTTGTTTTTTATTACTTGCAGTATGTTTACATAATTTAGATGCACCATAACATTTATTTGATGCTATGCTTGATAACATGTTTAAAATGTTTTACTTCTACAATTCTATGATAAAAAAAAATACTTAAAAATACTTTCAACTAAAAACGTAGCTTGAATAATTTTTATGGATGAATTTTATTTTAGAATCTTCAGAGACTATCAGCAGAAACTGGAAAAAAAGATAACTTACAAGAAATGTAATTTATAAAGAAGTGAACACTTGATATTACAAGTTTATACATATATTATCTCTAGTATCGTCCAATATAATAAAGTTTAAATATCAGACTACACAAAAGAATAAAATGCCTGAACTGATTATAAAAAAAACAAGTAGAATTTAGATATTTAAAGAACATGAGCAAGAGTTTAAGTCACTGCCTAAAACAAATAAGCATTGAATGTTTTATAATGGAAGATTATACTGCACTGAGAATAATTGTAATTAATGAACAAAGCAGTTTTAGCTCCATGCATCTTTACATGTTTATTGTCACATTCTTTAACAAAGGTAATTAAATTTACTGTAAACAGATTTACAATAACAGATGAGAATTGAGTTAATTTTCATTATGTAAGGTTTTAATAATAATTATTCGTTTTTGGAATAGCTTGCAAAAAAAGAGAATAACAAACAACTTCTTTACCTAATCATAAAATTAAAATACAATAAAAAGAGGTGACAATATGGTGAAAGTACAAACAGGCTTATCAATGACAATTCACGGGTTTTAAGAATGTTTATAAAAAACTTGTATATCCAAGTCAAAAATAACCAAAAAGGTTGAGTATGACCTACGAACTTAGACAGGATTTGTATTGAGGAATAGGTAAGATAAACCAGCTAGAAAACTGTCACTTGAAATAAGCTGTGAGAGACAAGAGCATTGCTTTGTGTAGAGAGCGAGAAATACATAACAGATAAAGGTAGACTAGTTGCTTACACAGGTATAATAAAAATTTACATATGTCATCACAATCAAAACACAATGTACTCTACATCAGCCTGCACAAAGCCTAGTGTTAACCTTCAGTGTGAATAGTGGCACAGCCTTTATTTCTGCTTAGGGTTCCAGTTAAGTTTTTGATGGCCCTGGCTCAGACCAACAGATAAATATAAAGAAAGAATACATTTGAGTCTGATGATTAATGAAAATACACAAAACAAATCTCACATAATAACGAGAACAAACAAATCTTAATTTCAATTAATTACTATAGACTATTTTTGAAATATAAATATTCTTTGTAGTTTTTAAAAAAATCTGCTTCGTCAGTACAGTCATATGGCGATGTTGATAGCATTGCTCGATTGAAAATTGCTTTAACTGATTTAGTTCTTTATTTACGTGCTAATTTATTTATCTACTGTAAATCTTCTTTGTACACAATATTTTTTGTCTTGCTGACAGGAACAAAGAAGAAGAGATTATTTTCATTTATAAAAGGCCTCTTGATCACACATTACCAAAAAAAAGCTGGACTTTTCAATTTGAGACCAATTGATTGTCCTGTTTGTCAAAGATTGCTATATTGATCACTTTGGCCTCAAAACGGCCTCTGAGGCCATGGGCACATAGCCCATGTGACTTCCTACACAAAGTTGTATCTGTACCCCGAGTTTGGAGCTTTAAAGAGGTGGCTGTGCATAAGGAACAGGCTCACAGAGAGAAAGAACGTTTTAAATAATTTTTCTGCATTACATACTAAATTATTTTTATAGAACTTCAAACTACCGAGGTTTCCTTGGTGTTGAGAGAGAAAGATTATTTGTTAATCTAATGTAAACAGTTTAGCAGATATATCTTGTCAATGTCAAGAAGTAGAAACAGAGGCTTAGCTAAGACAGCTCTTTGTATGAGTTACCTTGCTAGAAGGCATCACGTTGAGTGTTTAATATCTTGGTTCTGTTTATGTGAATTTTTAAACTTATGTACAAGAAGGTTATTGTCCTCTTAATACAACAGAAACAGCAAAAGGCCTAACACTAAGCCCTGAAGGTTATTGTAATCTTCATACAACAGAAACAGCAAAAGGCCTAACACTCAGCCCTGAAGGTTATTGTACTCTCGATACAACAGAAACAGCAAAGGTCCTGAAACTGAGCTCTGAAGGTTATTGTCTTCTCAATACAACAGAAACAGCAAAGTTTCTAACACTGAGCCCTGAAGGTTACTGTACTCTTGATACAACAGAAACAGCAAAGGTCTTAACACTAAGCCCTGAAGGTTATTGCCCTCTTGATATAACAGAAACAGCAAAGGTCTGAACGATGAGCCCTGAAGGTTATTTTACTCTTGATACAACAGAAACAGCAAAGGTCCTAACACTGACACCTGAAGGTTACTGTACTTTTGACTCAACAGAAACAACAAAAGGTCTTAACGCTGAGCCCTGAAGATTATTGTACTCTTGATACAACAGAAACAGCAAAGTTCCTAATAATGAGCCCCGAGGTACTCCACTTGTGAGTTACCCCACAAGACAGTTGCAATCAACAACAGCATCAGAATCTGGCCAGTTATGTAAACTACACTGTATTGTGTGTGTGTTTGTGTGAATAAAGATTATCATTTGTCCAGTTGCATCTTCTTGCATAACATTACTGGAACCCGAACATTATCTGCCAGATATCAGTGTACCTGAATACCACACTGCTACCTTGTTTGTTGTTTTTATAATAAGAATATTCCTAGTTTGGAAATTCAGTTGTGTTGAAATGGTTACAAATACATATAACAGAGTAAACCTAACTGTTAATTATCCTTTAAATATTTCAACTGTTTCTTAGCTATTAAAACAAGAGCACTAGTTGATTGCAAAACAATATCTTTAAAGTCCAGTTAAATAATACATTTATATAAGTATTGTTCCATTTGACAAATTCCAACTAATAGAAACAAGGTAAAATTTCAACAAACCTTGAGTAGCCCCTAAATGTTATTAAATACAGATAAAATTTGGTGTGAATTGCTTATTTATGTATTGGAACAAAACAAGGAGGGTGTTGAAAATAAAAAACTTCAAAATAAGGATGACCCTCATGCGTACTTCAACTCTTTATCATACTCTCTGCATAAATTTCTTCCAATCTACTAACTAATTTCAAGATTGATCATGATTTTTCTTCTCAATTAAGAGAAAATATTGCGATTTATTGATGCTTTTCCCCTGAAACAGATAAAAATATAAGTGTGTATATGTGCCAATAAATCTACCTCTGATGTTCCTGGCTTAAAAACTTCTCTTCCTGGTGCAAAATCTGGATAGGGATTATCAAATTCTCGATTTGATGACATGACGAAGGAAAAAAACCTTTTTTTTTTAATTCACAATCTGAAAGAAATAAAAATTATTCTCTTTAAGAATTATTAATATTTAATACAACCTTTTTAATACTTTCAGATGAATTAATTACAACATGAAAATTTCTATAATATCATAGAATGTAGTAATTAAAACAAATGTGACATCTAAACCTCACAGATGATCTACATTTTGAAATATTATAATGGTTTCATAAAATCCAAATATGAAAAAAATGGCAGAAAGACATCAAACACTGTTGGTAAACACTCTAAGAAATACTCATCATCTAGGACCTACTTGGTAGATTATAAATAAAGTTATTCTCAGCCATGAACACGTCAAACAAAATCTTGAATAAAATACTGCAAGTCAACTTTACAGCACAAACAATTTTATGTTCAAAAATTAATTCTTTGTGTACACCACATCGACCTCAAACTTCAAAGTTGGTGTCCAATTTTAAACTTGTCTTCCTGTGACCAACCGGCCCAATCAAAAACTAACATTTTTAGACTATGAACCACATCATGTCTAAATCTTTTTTGAGGAAGTTGGACCTTGTTTCTCTTTCTTTACAGTTTGAGGTATTTTAAACTACATACAAGTATCATTCTAGTACCCTTGATTAGTTAGTTAAGTCCTTGTCATGCCTTTGTAAGGCACATAGGGCTGGTGCTTTCAAATTTTGGTTCTTAACGACAACCCATTAACCCTGGATGGGATACTAGCCCATTGCAGGTTAACCCCCACCTAACTGATAATACTCAACATACAGCTGAGCAATTTATATATATATAGTATTATGTTCTATCTAATATATATATATATATATATATATATATATATATATATATTAAGGTTAATGTGCATTGTTAAATGTATCGATTTAGGACTAACCTAATTTCCTAAACTACCTAAACTTCATGTATATTAATATTATTATTGAGATAAAAGGGAAAGTACCATCTGGTGGATGATTACATTCTCATCATTGTAATATTTTTCTTTAAAACACTACATACTCGTACTTAGACTAGTGTTTTAAATTATGTACATTAATAATTGGGTTATTTTTAATTTTGATCTTTGTTGATAACTTGCTTTGATTAGAAGAAATTTATAAAAAGGATTAGAAATACATGTATTACCCATCCCAAAACCTATAAGTTATAAATACAATCCTGTATCCATTAAATACATTATATATTACAAATGCATACAGAATAACATAATTTTGCAATTAACTGTAAGTAAACATCATCCTAGTCATAATCTAAAATTTATTTTTAGAAATTCTAAGATTCAAGATAACCATACAGCAGTCACTGAAATAATCTGTACAACACAGAATTACTACAATTATAACTATAATAATATCATTATTCTATTATTATTAATGATAACAATACTAAGTTAAAATTATTGTTATTTATAACTTGTAGACTAAACTACATTAACAATAACAGGCATTTTAGTATTTTTTAATTTAATAAAAGTTTGATTTAAAAATTACCATTATAAATGTAATTAAAAATACTCATACATGTCTTAATTTCATGTTCAATTTTAAAAACTAGACTGGAGATTAACATAACAAACTGAAAAGTTAAACTGGCATAATATTATATTGTATTTGTAATACTATTACTATATTACTAGTACTAGTAGTAGTATTAGCAAGTAAAAAATATTTTATAAAAATAAGACTAATCTCTAGTAAATACTTTTATTTATACTGAACGTTTCGCTGTATCAGTTTTATCGAGAAAATATTATTTTGATGTGATGTTTGTTGCTATTATGGTATTTGTATTACTACCCATTGACACTGATACAGTGATATTGATAGTGCAAATACTAATGGTGGTACATACAACATGCTATATTAGTATTAGTAATATTATTACTACAATATAGAAAAATTGGGAACAAATAAATTTACTTTCTGGAAATTAGCATATTTGTTTTATTTTTATTTTTAATATTGTCTATTAGTGTTAGTCTCCAGTAAACATTACGAACATTGAAAAATGCTGTTAAGTGTTATATTGTTAAGTTTTCATGATAAACCATTCACTTTTGGAAAATTAAATCACTGCACTGAAACTAATAGTAATACTTAATTTCTTAATCAGTTACCTTCGCAAGTTGAATTGGAAGTGTTAATCAAATATCAATGGAATGGATCCAACAATTTTTCACAAATCTTCAATTTTCGGATAGACGACGCTTTTAATAAAAAAAAAAGTTATAAAAATTATTGTGCTATTTTAGATATTCTTTTAATATTTCAATTTTAAAAGTATTTTGTAAAATACTATTTTTTCTAAACATTTCTACAAATAGATGGTAAATTGTGTTATTGCACAATTTTAAAAACGTGAGTATTCCTTTAACATTTAATGACATAAAGTAATGAATAAATGACTTTAATATTTTCGTTTTTAATCATTTCCATTTTATTATTTATTTTCCTCAATATTTTCAGCCCCAGTTGTTCCAGCGGGAAGCCTGAGGGCTTATAACGCTAAAAGTCAGGTTTCGATTCTTGTGGTAGACACAGCATAGATAGACCATTGGTTATCTTTGTGCTTAGAAATAAACAAATTAATTTGTTCGTTGTGTGTTATTATTTTTGACTTCTGTTTCGTCCAATTACTGCATGTGTCGTGTTTTGGTAGGCAAGAAATTTTCAGTATTTTGTTGATTTTATTCTAACAGCATTTAATCTCTTTAATTCTTACTGTAACTTCTTAACCCGTGTTAAAGAAGAAAATGTTTACAACATCATCACATTCTGTGAAAATAATTTGGCTAATATAATTCGTGAACCAGTGTTTAGATGATTCAGATTAACTCTTAATTTCCAGTTGTGGTTTATAATTAGTGTGAGATGAGGTTGATAAAGAGTAGCCCAAGAGTTGGCGGTGGGTGAGTATTGACTAACTGCTTTCCCTCTACAAGTATAAAAAAATCGCAATAGTTGTAGGGTTCGCCCAAAAGAAATTGCGATATTTCTTGTTTTTGAGACACTTGTAACCGAGTTTTTATTTGGTGTGAAAATAAATAGGATGGACATGTTTTAAGAAAGTAACCAGAAGACAGGTCTACACTAAAAGAGAGTTAGGAGAGAACTAGACAAAAAAAAGTGTATTTGGGTTTCGAACTTCGCCTTGCTTTCTTGGTCCAAAAGATGAGATCACCTTGTGACCTTTGTTCTCTGATAGCATGAGTCACTTATGAAATCTAACTTACGTCAAATTCGATGACGAGGAACCCACTTTAGAGATTAATAATGGCTGGAGACGGCTTGAATGGGTAATG